TGAGAAAGGCCTCTGAACATTCTGAGGCATTGTCTGAAAACAGGGACCCCTTTTTCCTGGGGCCAGAGTTACCAAAAAGAAAAAAAAAGTACAATGAGAGAACAAATCTAAATAAAAATTGGAAAAAAAAAGAAAATGAACAAATATATTGCTGGACAGCATCCCTGCTCCAGAGATCCCTTGGGTTCCTATGCACCAACAACTGTGAGAATCAGCGAGTCCTTCTTGCACTTCAAATAAGTACTTTTGTAAGAAATAGAGACTGAGAGGAGGCAACAAGAGCTAATTTTCCTTAACCAGAAGAAAGCATTCTCACAAGAAAACGTGCTTTTGGGTAAGTGACAGAGAAGTCTTGTACCCCACCAGTTCACAGAGACCAGGGACTAACTGAAATGTGTACTATTGGACTTTCTTTTTTATAACAGCGACTCCACATTATAAGTCTTCCCAAACCTATAAACACAGCAAGGCACATATACATGCATATATTTATATAAAGCAATAAAATCTAGAATAAAAAATGAACTTGATGTACTTGGTGGTCACTTAGCAATTATTAGTTGACTACTACGGTAGAATTCAAAGGCACACAAGGTCCCTGAGGACACACATAAGTCCATGGGCGCACATCACCCCTGGACACATCTCTGAATGCACATCCAAAAGGAACACTGGCCTGAGGAATAAGCCCACTGATTCTCCCCTTTCCCTCTCTGCCTCTCTCTTTCTCTCTCTCCCTCCTTTTCTCGGTGTATGCATATACACATGTACCCACCCTCTCTACTCCCCTCCTCCCCATATTGGGAAGGAGGGAGTCCTTTGAAATGGAGGTGGTCCCAGCTGGAAAACCCCAGAGCTCATTTAGATCACATCACTTCAGGCTTTTGTCTCAGCTCCTGAATAACCTAGGCTGTTACAACAAAAGGATAGGCATCTACGTGGAGTTTTCATTGGCAAAGATGCATCTCAAAGACGCTGCTATAATAATGAATAATGAGGCAAGATGTTTGCCTTTTTTTTATTGCCACTCCTAAAGAAGGGTGAGCAGAAAAACGGAGGGAAGGAGAAAGTGGAGCAAGAGATAGAGATTGTAGGAGAGGAAACCAAGGCAAGTATTTGGGTGTATTCTGCCAAAGAATCTTTAATTGTTCAGACGCTGGTCACCATCAAGTATAAGAAATGGGGCTTGGGGCTTATTGTATTTTTATCAGTGCCCCTTTTGTTTCAGGGAACCAGTTTTTAAGAAGTAACTAACAGTAAGGATTCAGACAGGGTGTGAAGCAGGACCCTGTGAAGCTTCGGGAGGGAAGGAAAAGAGGAGTGGGAAGGGGGGAGGTGTAGATTGTCTGTTGACATGTCACTAGAGAGCAAATGACACAGATGTACATTTAACATCTCCCTAGCTAACACTGGTAGAAGAAACACTGGATTTTATTTTCTAGGGAAATTTAGGCATTTTCCCTCTTTTCTGCTCTCTTCCCTGTTTCCACCCCCAACCCATTTGAAAAATGTCTACTTTGCCATCGAGCTTGATCTCATTAGCTAATACACTATCAAACTATCATGTGCTCTCTGGCTGCCCAATAAGCAGCATGCCTTCAGCTGTCCTCCTGCCTCCAGACTTTAACCCAAGGGTAGCAAAAGGTGAAATTAGATATTAGCAAAATAAATCCCAAGAAAGAGGAGGAGGAAATCTGAGTCAAATATACTTTTTTCCCCTGAAAACATAATAACCAGCGAATATTCAGAGAGAATATTGAGAGAAATTTTTCATTTGTGTGTGTGTGTGTATGTGTGTAAAAGCACTTTTAAAAAAATAAACAAAAATGTTTCATCTACAGGGCTTAAGGGGTCCAAAGTGAAAGTGTGGTTAAACAGACCAAGGGCAATACCATCCCAAACTTTTCCAAGATGCATTATGATATCATTGACAAACTCTTAATGTTGGCAAATAATTAAATTTTCCATCTTTTAGAACTGCGTAACCTTGGGTGTCTTAGAAACAAATTGTACAAACAAACCATAGAGATGAGCACTGAGAGTTTCAGAGGAGATATAATGAACCAACTTTAATTACTAACTTGAAATTAAAAATGTAATATACAGATTTAAATTTATTTTCACCTAAATTGTGTATAAAATTATATGGCTTTTGCAGGCTAAGAAATGCTTTGTAACCAGCCATGCTACTAAAAAGTCTGAAGTAGTTTCCAAAACTGAGTTCCCAGACTCACACAGTAATAATGATACATTTATCATTACTGATGACCACCTACTGGGTAATTATTGCTTTGTTACTACTATTACAATCAAGAGATTTCTTTATTTACTGTTAACATTCACTTAAAACAGAATGTTAATGACTGTTCTGAATTCACCAAAGAGAGTTTTCTGTTATATTTCAGAAGTACTTACGTTCTGGTTCAGAATTGGAAAACCACATCATAACAGAGTGGAAGGCTGGGTGAGCGCTTGGTTCTCATCCTCTCTCGAGGATGAAAATGGCATTCTGAGGATTTCTGGAGCAAAATTTTCCAGCTTGGAGTTGCAGAAGGTTAACATAATGCAACCACTTGACTTGTGCTAATTATGTAAGTATTTTATTACAGGAGATTCATTCATTATTGATACTTGTTTGCAGTAACTTCCTGCTTGGGGGAGTTATATTTTATATGAGAAGTAAACAACCCATGGCTCCAGGGCTAGCCTACCCCCCCATCTGATTTCCTTCCACCTCTTTGTCTAGTTTCACTACAATCCCCTGGGATGTTAAGTCCTTGTAGAGCCAGAGAAAATTCCCTAAGACTTTCTTGTTCTCCCTCTCACCCTCTTTCCCACTCTGAACTTTCCAGTTCTTAAAAGATAGAGCTCAGGGATAGAATGGGGATGAGATAAATAAGAAAATAAAGAGAAGAGAGAATTTTTTAATAAAGAGAAGAGAGGATTTTCACCAAAAGTCTAAGCCTAGATTCCTGGAGACTTGGCCATCATTTTTCCTCTTGGAAGATGCTTTCGGCTTCCAGGCCAGAAATATCAGAAGTCTTGACTGGTCTTTGGTATACCCAGAGGTCAGAGGATGGTCATTAGGAAGTGGTTGTGGTGTAAACTCTTAACCAATGGACAAGTTCAGAAAGAAACTCCTACCTGCCCCAAGTCAGAACCCAAACTCAGCAATGGTGGTGAGTGCAGTCTATAATATCTTCTACCATGGCCTATGCCATGCTGCACTAGAAAAAGACATGGCTTTGCTTGTGGGGTGATCCTGTGAGGGATCATTTTGGCTGAAGGGTTCTAAAGAGTTTTGCTCCAAAAGCATGCCTGGTTATCAGGTTTCTGGCTGGCGAGAGGCCAGTGTTTCCTAGAGGAGTCTCACAGCCCTAGCATAGGCCTCCAGACTAAAAGTAAGTGTTTCTTCTTGGACTTTACTCCAAGTTCTGAGACCCCTGCTTAAGGTCCTAGTTCAAGCTGGGATAGATGCCAAATGCCAAAGATCAGTGTGCTCCAGACCCTTAGAGAAATGAGAGAATGTAAAAGAACAGTGGAA